TTTGGCATTGTGCCAAAATCGGTTAAAAAATATCAAGGCGATGCTGCGCCATGATCATATGAGTTTGCCGGATAATAAATTTTCATCATTATTCAGGGCTATTTATTGACAAATATAATACACATGCCGGTTTCAATGTGAACTGGCAATGGTGGCATGATGATCTCAAGTTGTCCCTCGATGAGATTCATTCGAAGAAATCGGGAATTTAAGGAAACAATTTTATCAAACCGTTTTAGATCACAGTCAGAAATAATGATATTTGGAATATCAAGAGACATCAGAAAAGTCACAAATTCATGGTAGGATCCCTTCGCCTGAAATGAACAATTTGATATAAAAAATTGTATATTGTTAGCCGCATCTTTGTTTCTTAATTAATCGAAAAAAAAAAACGTGTCTGTAATAATTCCTTTTGTTCTTTCTGTCGATTGCTATTAGAAAAATTTGTTTTTTTTTTTTTTTTTTTTAAGAATTAGAAAATTTTGTTAGATCATAAGGCTACAGTAAAGAATTTAAGTAAAAATCAAGAATGTTCTTAAGGTCCATGTTTGTCTTTCACGATCACATTGAAATTTTACCTTATATTATGTAATTGATTTTTAGTTATTTAAACTATGATCATTATTTCATACATATGAGTGCGTGAGAATGAAAACTGGAAACTGATTTAATGATTTACTATGATCGGTTTCCAGGTTTTCACTCTCACGCACTCATATCGAATCAATCAAACTCTATTAAATAATATCAATATATTATAAAATTCCTAGAGTTACATGACAAACAAAGTTAAAAATCACAAACAAATACCACTTGTCTCTGGATTGTCGCTAACATTAGAGCGGTAACCGTTGTAAAAAAAGTGATGACAGCTTTAACTACTTTGCTTGTAAAAAGTTTTAAAAGAGCAATCAATTGAAATATCATTTTTCATACTCATTGTCCGTCCTTTTAGTAATCAGTAATCGAATGCTAAACTTTGTTAAATCTTTAAGCTCTTCTTTTATATTTGTACTACGAGTTTAATCAAGAATTGTTCTTTTTTTGGTTAGAATTGTTATAAAGTGATTACGTATCTGTTATCGTTATAACAGGTCATACTGACCAATATGTGTATACTCTATATTGTATATTCATTAACTGTTTAGATCTATCGTATTTTCAACTTTTTTAAAACTTATCTAATAGCGATAGGATTAAAAAGTTAAATTGTTTTAATTAGAGTAATACAATGTTCAAAAAATGAATAATATGTATACATTATTCTGCAAAAATTTTCGAATAACAGTAATTTGGTTCAACCGGTGTTACGACAAAATGTTGTACTTGTATACATTGATTCACAACATCTCTATATTTGTATCGATTCGTGCGAATAGAAACAAATTCGGATTTCATACAAACTCAAAAATACAAGGATATAAAAGAGTTATTAGAAGAGATATCTAAACAGAATAAGAAAGTGAAATGCCATATGATAAAATTACTATATATTTTTAAAAAGCATGGACAAAGAAAATTTGACTAAGTTTGTAAATCTTGGATATAATTATAGACATGATATCGGAGTAGAAAAAGATGAGAAAAAAGCGTTCGAATACTATAAAAAATCTGCAGATATGGGTGATGTCAATGGAACATATCATGTTGGATATTGTTATTATGAAGGAATTGGAGTTGAAAAGGATGAACGTAAGGCATTCATTTATTATCAAAAATCTGCAGAGATGGGGGATGCTAGTGGAACGTTTAATGTTGGGTCTTTTTATCATAATGGAATTGGAGTTGAAAAGG